ATACAAATATTAATACAAATATTAATAAAATCTAAATCTCAAATAAAACAAAGGGCACCCTCTGTAAATGCTCCATGCTTTGCCTTTTATTAAACTATGGGGCAACTTGCCCTTCCCTAGCGCCCCAAATGTCGAGAACAGTCCTCCTGCAGCGAATCTTTTCACTTTATGTTGCCTTTGAGCATAAGCAGAGTTTTTTCCCCCACCCTTCATCCCGTTAACCGTTATAAAACGACTACATTCGTATACTCGAGGAAAGGTAGGAGAGGCAATTTCCAGGCGTTGTCGGCCCCGAGCAGCCTTTTATATTTACCTACCGATTTCCCCCAAGTGCCCGCTGCAATAAACAACAGCGCGCTCCTGGACAGCCACCCCCCTCCCAGTAGTTCTCACTTCTGTGCGCTATTATGTTACTCCATGAGCGAGTGTGTGTATATATGCGTGTGGCTGTCAGGTGACTTGGGTCACGCAGTTTTCTCTCCTCTGGGAGGGACTGCAGGGCCTCGGCTGACTTTCCTTTGACAACTGCGACGAGGAGGAAAAGCGGGGGGGAGGGAAGAAGGAAGGAAAAGCTTTAGGCTCGAATCCCCCCCCCGAGACGAGAGGCAACCTGGAGGGGCGACGCGGCGGGGAAAGCGGTGCTTGGCGAGGACGAAGCCGGGGCGGGATCAGAATGAGCGAGGTGCCGGGGAAGTTGAAGGAGCAGCAGGAGAACGAAGGAGCGGAGGAAAAAGGCGAGGAGGAAAAAGACGAGGAAGAAGAGGAGGAGGAAGGAGAGGAGGAGGAAGAAGAGGACGAGATTGTCGGGCTAGCCGACTATGGGGATGAGAGTGAGTCTTTCTCGGATGGCGACCACGAGAAAAGCGGGGACGGGGCGTGTAAGTAGTTCCTGCGGTTGAAACCGAGGGAAGACGAAGGAAGAGCCAGCAAGCCTCTTCGGGCGACTTTGCTTGCCAGGCCTTTTGTTTAGGGAGGGGAGGGGAGAGGGGAGAAGCCCAGGCGGCGGCACCCGGGAGGTGCCCCCTTTGGAGAGCTCGCCCCGAGAGAGGGAGGATGGGGCATCGGGGATCGAGGAAGGCTGGGGGCGGCTGGGAGTTAAACTCGGGCCCCTCCCAGCCTCGAAACGTTTGGTTCCGTAGTGATTGGGAACTGCACCCTTCCATTTACTCCCCCCCACTCTTTGGCACACGTTTACTCGTGGTTAAACCGAATCGTGGTTGGGTCAGTTTACCCAATGCTCCGCGTAACTCGCTACTCCTCTGCAGTTCAGTGTGCCGTGTGAACGCGTGGGAAAAGGGGGGGGGCAGCAGCGGGGAATCAGCTGGCTTGTGGGGGGGAGAAAAGCAAAGATGGTTCCCTTCCATGATTCCAGTATTCAAGAGTCAGTAAAGGCTAGTCCTTAAATCTTGTTTCACCCCAGGCAGTGAGTGAGATAAATGCCTTAAAAATCGGAACTGACGAACGGCGAAAGGAGAAGTGTGCAACATACTTGTTTTAAAAATTAAATTAAATTCACCTATCCATCAGGAACTTGCTCTGCCTAGTTTTCCCTGCCACAGTCCTTTAAGCTTTAGTCTTAGATGCAGCCTGCCTTTCCTCTTACAGCAAGAATTGGGGGGGGGGGGAGCTACTACCTTTTTAGTGCCATAATGCATAAGTGCCTTTTTTTCTTTTTCTTTTTGCAAATTGGAAGTTGGTGTGGTTTTACAGGGGGGAAAATAGTGCCCTAATACTTAGGATAAGCCGGGATTCTTTTAAATTCCTGATCCTTTGATCAAAATAGGTCCTGGTTTCACCCTCCTTTAAGAAAAAGTATGCACCTTTGGTAGTATAGTAGAATCATTTCTTACATCAAACATATGAAGGGGGTCGGGTTACCTGTATACTTGGACAAAGACAAGAAACTCAGTTTTTCCATCTCTGTTGCTTAGAAATATTTCCCACAATCCAAGCTGCTCCTTTTCTTTCCTGTTACTGCTATAGAGAAGACAAGGGATAGGAGATGCAGTAAAACACACAACTGTTCCTAGTTTGGGGTTTTAAGAAGAAATTGAAAAGGAAATTGCTTCCTGGCCATTCATTTTCTTGGTCCTCTTATCTTCAGCTTTTCTGGAGTATTGTTTTTGCCAGGGCTGCCAAATCTGGATTGCAGAAATCCAAAGATTTCCCCTTAGTAATTCTGCTACTAAGTAGGAATCCTAATATTTTTCTCATGGCCATAAACTCTAGCAACACTGGTGGAGAAAGGGGAAGTTTTGGGGAGGAACTGAGGTTTGGGAGCAAGGAGACTGGATTTGGGGATAGAGAAGCAGTTGAACGAAGATGTTGTAAAGCGAAATTTAAATGTATGTATGAGCAAAAACAAAAATTTATACTAAGTGAGGGAAGAAAGTGAAAAACATGGAATAAATGAAATAGAGGTCATTTAGGAGCAGGTTGGTACAGGTTTTTGAGAATTGGCGGGGAATATAATTGAATAGAGTTTGACTTTCAGCTGAGATAGCTTATAGTTAGCCTTTAATATGATAATAGAATGATGCTAAGACAAAGATGGGTTGGGCAGCAAACAAGATTTGCCTAGTTACTAATATGTGAGTGTGCTAGATTAAAATATATGTTTGTGTCATGCATTGTGATGATCTACAGAGAAATCTGACCTGACCTTTTAGGATGTGTTCTAAATTTTTAATAGATCCTGATATTGAGACTGGATTTTCTTTTAAAGCAAATGTGCTTTTATTCCTATTTCTTGCAGAATGTCAGAGCAGAAAACTTTGCAAACAATAGCAAGCTACATTTTACAAAAAACTTTAGAATTTTGGTTAATATTGTAGGTAGAACACTAAGCCTAGAGGCTGAGAATGTGTGAATTTGCCCTAATGAACTAGAATTTGGTAATTTTTCAAGTGCAGCTCAAACTCTCTGATACAATTACTTCGCCAGCTGTAAGAGTAGTTAATAGTGAGCCGTGTAACGTAATAAAATATTTTAAAAGTAAGAACAAAAAGCACACAATTGCAGAGGACTTAAGTCTGAATAGACAGCTAACTATATTTTCATGTACAACACAAATATCCCAAATCCTCAAAGTGATTTCCCAAGAAATGGCCTTTTACATTTCTACAACGTATCTATATATTTGTTTACATACACATCTTACAGTTAACAAGGTGTCTTTACACATGACCCCATCTTTCATTTAAAAAAGAAATTTAAAACACTCGTGCTCCCAAAATACATATAAAGATGAATACTATAGGCAGCTAATGCTCTGAAAGGCAAGATCTTTCAAAGATTACATGGCTAGGTTTTCTGTTTCCAATTACTTTGGGAGAGCATTGACTGAGAGTTTGAAGAGGGAACATATAGATCACAAGTATTGTCAGTTGTAGCTGTGTTTTGTGGGAAAGAACAGGAAGAGAAAGGGGGAGGGAAGAGGGAAAGAAATGTGCAGCAATAATGAGAAGTCCCAGCACTAGTGTGGAAATTCATAGATTGGTGATCATTCAGTTTATATATTTATAAAGTTTATATAGTTATATTTATAACATTGATCTTTTTTCTATGTGTCATATACAAAAAAAAACTTTGTTAAGGGATTGAGAGCTTAAGCACAACTTGGAGAAAAAAATATTTAAGCAAACTTTTAAAATTGTATAGTGGTGCAGGTATTCAATATGCAGACAGAGTCTGCACAAAGACATAAAGTTTTTTTTTAAGGAAGGCCCATTTCAAATCCATAAAAGGCAAGAGCCATAGAAGGGTTCAGAGTCCCTCTGCAGCTGTGAATGTCAGTCTCCATATTGCAGGCTGTGCTCCAGACAGTTGTTCCATTGGTTTTGCTTTCTTGTTTTAATAAAACCAGTGCATTGGAATAATGGCACTCAACACACAGTTATATAGGTACATTTACAGGGGGAAAAAATCAGTAAATGGATCGGCAGAGGTAAACCTTTAGGCTTAAACAGAAAATAGTTTTTACAACACTTTCAGGAACAAATGGAATATTTTCCTTTTAGATTATATTCTCTTTGCCTTTGCTGAGAATGGGTAGAATGTTAGGCTCCATGCAGTATAGGCCTAAATATTATGGTTTGTGTGTTCTCATATGAATGCATAGACTTTTTTTCTCTTTGTTTCAGAGAGGCTGTATTAAGTAACGTAGCTTACATGCAGTAGATACTCAAGCAGAAATTGTTTTTAATAATAGCGTTTTGAGAAGCACTTGAACATAAATATTTCGAGTATATATACAACAGAAATGGGTATACTTTTCCAGGTTCTTCATCAGATGTATTCTTGTGATTCAAGGTTATCTAAAGTTTTTAAAGGGAGCATTGATAAGCTCGCTTCCATGAGTTGTACATTAAAAAAAACCAAGGTGGGATGTGTGTGTGAATCTTTCATCTCATTAAAGTTTGCATGACTATGAGATAGGAGCATGGTAAGGCATGTGCAATATGGAGTTCTGATTGTAATCTGCATTTATTTCCACACTTTGGCTTATTTTGTGAGAGATGTAAGTTTTTTTCAAACTAGCAGGGAGAGATAATTTCAAATTAAGCTGCCCTTTCTGGCACCAGAAAAGAATCCTTAAATTGCAAAGAAGAGTTAAAATAATACATTTAAATTGCATTCAGGTTTGGATATAAAATATAGCTTTGTACATTAGGTACAGTATAAACTAAAAAAATGTTTTTATTTGATTCTAGATTTCAATGATCCTTTTAGTACTGAAGTTAAGCCAAGAATCCTGCTCATGGGACTGAGAAGAAGTGGAAAATCTTCCATTCAGAAAGTTGTTTTTCATAAAATGTCACCAAATGAAACTCTTTTCTTGGAGAGCACTAACAAGATCTGCAGAGAAGATGTTTCCAACAGCTCCTTTGTTAACTTTCAGATATGGGACTTTCCCGGCCAAATTGATTTTTTTGATCCTACTTTTGACTACGAAATGATTTTTCGTGGCACTGGAGCATTGATATTTGTGATTGATTCTCAGGTAAGAGGATGATGATGATGTTAGACCAATTTGACTTTTAAATCATTCTCAAACCTTGCACAAATGAACACCTGCTGACAGAGGAATAGAATAGATGATGGCAAGTTAAGTAGAATGTGACTCTCTAGAGAACTGCAAGCAAACTTTCCTTTTACACCAGGACTCTTTTTCCATATCCTGGATTATCACTGCAGCGCAGACCACCTTTTTAAACCTTTTTCCTAAATATTATCGGAACTGGAAAATGCAGAGTAAGATCTGCAATTGGTACAGTTGTATAGAAACCAGAATTCTCACCCTTGTGTGAGGAATAAGCCTTTTATCACAAAAGGGACTCATTTGAATTTTGCTGTACATTCTGTTTTTATTTAGATACTACTGAAACAAATACATTTGATTGATTGCACTTCTGTTTCCATATATGCAATCCTTCAATTTTCTGCAGTTTCTAAAGTTACCTATAACTTTATAGGTAAAATAAACCTTAAGATGATTATAGCTAGCCTCGGCTTATAATCACAATTGGAGCAAAATTTCCGCTGCTAAACAAGGCCACTGAAAAGTTGTGTCTTATGACCAGTCCTCGCATTGTTCGTCAAAGCATCCCCATGATCTCATCATCAAAGTCAGGCACATGGCGACCAGCATGTATTTAAGATAGATGCAGTATCCCAAGATCATGTGATCACCATTTGCGATGTTCCTACTGGCTTCTGACAAAGTCAATGGGGGAAGCTGGGTTCACTTAATAACCACACAACTCATTTAACAACTGCAGTGATTTACTTGACAAAAAGATCATAAAATCGGGTGTGACTCACCTTGCTTAACAAGCAAAATTCTGGTCCCAAATGTGGCCATAAACTGAGGTTTACATATACATATAATCCATAATTATGGATTATGTTTGTGCTGGTGTGGTAAAGTGCCTAAGGTCACCCAAATTCAGATCCACTGTCCAGCTCCTCATCCACTCTCCCACTGTGCATCCGTATGCCCAAATTTACAGATCGTTTTTGTGGTGAAAAAACAGAGAAAGGAGTGCTAAGTATATCAGCTCAAGTATTTTGAGGAAAGATGTGATATACTGGTAAGTGTAATTAATATGTACAGTATATAGTAAGAAATCAACATGTCAAGGAACTGCTTAAATGATGGAAATGAGGAAGGTTAAAGCTTTTGGTGATTATTAGTGATGATATCTATTATTATCCCCAATGTCAAATGTGGAGTATCTTAGCAACAGCTGCAAAAGAATAGCAGTGTGAGTGTTGGCCACTGTGGGAATAGAATTCTGGATTAGGTACTCTAAAGGTGCTTGTAGTCTTTAAATAGAAGATAGAGAGTTAATGATTAATAACTAGTTGAAATATTCCATCTTCTAAATATCTATGGAGATTTTCAGTCATTCAGGTCATGGTTGTCCCAAAGGTGCTTTTTCAAGAGGCAACTGGACTTTCTGATTTTTCTTTGAAGATGTTTTGCTTCTCATGAAAGAAGTTCTGAGCTGAGCAGAACTGCAGAAGCTTCTTGGATGAGAAGCGAAACATATTCAAAGAAAAACCAGAAAGTCCAGTTGCCTCTTGAAAAAGCACCTTTGGGATTCCGCCTTCTACTTTATTAATGAAATACTATTTAAATCGAATGGGAGTTTCATATAATGCTTTTTGAGTGAAAAGAATTCAGGTTGACATTTTAAGTAATGTGTTTTATCCAATTCTTTTTTTTTTTTTTTTTAGGATGACTATATGGAAGCATTAGCTAGATTGCACCTTACTGTGACACGAGCCTATAAAGTAAATCCAGATATAAACTTTGAAATATTTATTCACAAAGTAGATGGTTTGTCTGATGATCACAAGATTGAAACACAAAGAGACATTCATCAGCGGACTAATGATGACCTTGCAGATGCTGGACTAGAAAAAATCCACTTGAGGTGAGAAAAGCAGTGTAATGGCTGGGGTTTGCTGGGGAGAAAAAGGAAACTGCAAGTAATATTAAAAGAAGTGCCATAGTATAAAACTTGGGAAAAGTAAGCTTAGTTTTACAGTATATCATGATCAAATAGAATAAATGTTTGCTGGTGTAGCCATGCTTAAAACCTTAAAATTATCTTTTTAAAATCACAGATGCAAGTATTCCAGTCATTCTCGGTCAGTATAGTATTAATTTCCAGTTGCGTATTTCTAATGAGCACCATTTTAGGGAGGGCTGTGCTAGGATGATGCATTTTGCTAGCCTCAAAGTTGTTGATGTTCCTGACTTGGAGAAAACTATATTGAGAATGTATGTATGTAAAGGTAAAGGAGTTCCTGTGAATTTTACTCCGCTAGTCTTTGCCGACTTTAGGGGGCAGTGCTCATATCTGTTTCAAGCACGGAGCCAGCGCTTTGCGAAGACATTTCCATGGTCATGTGGCTAGCATGGAGTTTTGTTACCTTCCCACTGAAGTGGTACCTATTTATCTACTTGCAGTTGCATGCTTTCAAACTGCTAGGTTAGCAGGAGCTGGGATGAGGATGGGAGCTCACCCCGCTGCATGGCGCTTCGACCCAGGCTACCGGTTTTTCACCAGACAAACCCAGCATCTTAATCCCTGAGCCACCACGCTGGAACATTTTAATTGACTTTGTGTGATAATGAACTTTATGCATTCATTCGGCAACCAATGTTATGACAGCACTGCATGAGGAAACTTAAGACCAGTCCTCAAAGGTTTCAAGTGTTGCAATGTTCCTCTAGTCATGTGATTGTAATTTGGGTGCTTGGCAATCAGCTTGTAGTTACAATGGTCGCAGTGTCCCTCAGTCACCTGATCGCCATTTGTGACCTTGACTGTCAGCTTCCAACAAGCGAAGTCAATGGGGAAGCCAGTAGGATGTTGCAAATGGCAATCCTGTAATATCCCACTTACCGATGTTCTGAACTGCTGTCATAAATCAGCAAGGTCATGTGACATTGCGGTTTACAACTGCATTGGTTAGCGAAAGAGTTACCGGTTGCTGTTAACAAAGGACTCCAGGTAGTCCTTGACATACAACTGTAATGGATCCTGCCCATTACAGTTATATGTCATAATGGTTGGTTTTTTTTGGTGGTGGTGGTGAAGTGAATGTGGTGACTGTAAGTGCAATTGCCATGATTGTTAAGCAAACCTATTGTTGGCTATGGTGTGGTTTGGCCCAAAACTGAAGGTAAATTCCAGTTTTGGGCAAAACCCTCATAAGACTGAGATCACATGACTACAGGATGTGCAAACGGCCATAAATTCAGCCATGTTGCCAAGTGCAGTTAGGTGGTCAGAGGGAGGGCCCAACTCAGTGGTGGGATTCAAAAATTGTTCAAACCTACTCTGTGGGTGTGGCCTCCTTTGTGGGAGTGGCTTGCCACCCCATGTGACCGGATGGGAGTGGCTTGCCACCCATGTGACCGGATATGAAGATGCCGATGACACTTGTCAGAACCACCTTAAATTACCTCACACACAGCACTGGCATGCATAAGAATATGATGTCAACTTGTTTTTGAAAATAGCAATAGCAATAGCAATAGCAATA